GATTGGCTTCCTTTACAGCCTTGATCATAGGCATACCGAGAGCGAGGTTGCACGAGATCGCTGAAGCAAGTGAACACCCTGTGCCATGTGTGTTCTTCGATTCCAAGTAATCACTCTCGATTAAGATGACTCCACTGTCTCCAACCAGCACATTTAGCACTACTTCCCGGTCCGCCACTTCTTTACTGACAAAGTGACCGCGCGTTAATGGTAGGTGGCCTCCCTTGAGTAACACCCACTTGGGTCCTCTCTTGTGGATATGACGTGCCATTGCGACAACATCATCAACGTTCTGCGGGTCTGGGACTTCAACGCCTGCGGCTTTCAAAAGAAGCTTTGCCTCCGGGAGGTTTGGTGTTAGAAGCGTTGTGTAAGGGAAAAGATGTTCGATCAGTGTTGTAACCGCAGCTTCGGGAAGAAGTTGTGAACCTGATGTCGAAACCGTTACCTGAAATGTGACTTAGATGATTGGCCATGTCTAATCATCCAGATGGAACGGGTAACCAGAACGTACAGGATCCACAACACTCGTGCTAATGCTATGTCTCTTCAACGCATCGGCGACAATCTTGATGGTCTCTGCTGACGCAAGCATGCCTGTAAGACGTGAGCTTCATTGCTTTGAAATCGACACATTTTGCTATCATCTGTTTGTAGACCTACCGGTCTTGACAACATCGACTCCAATATCATCACAAACAGCATCAATCTGCTTCTTCACAAAGTCTGGGGGTGTATGATGTATGTCTTTCACACCTAGCGTATTTTGTGCTGTCAACGCGGTAGTAGCAGTCATAGCATAGCAGCCATGTGCTGCAATTACCTTCTGGTCAGCCTCTAGTCCGCTGTTGGTATGGGTGGATAGTTAGTTTAACTGGCTGATTGAATAAGGGGCGGATGCATGTATGCGTACGTACGCCCCACCCGAACTGTCTGAGCCAGCAATTACCAGAATACGTTTTGGCAGCATTGGGAAGCACTGAAAGTTGAATATATGGAGAAATTGCTTCGTTCCCAGACTGTGGGCTTTGAATGGTGTGAGTCTACCGTTTTCTCTTTGAGCCCCACCATCCGCCGGTAAGTAGGTAGTACGCGAGACCCACGTCATTCCGTCGTATCTTCATGTTGCCGGCACGCATGTGCAAAAACGCTGCAGGCACAAACGATGCACATTCGGCTTCTGATATAAACTGGCAACCCTCTGGTACTTGATAATATCGTACCCATCTTCTAGTGGCAAAATAGGACAAACGCTGTTGGAAACCCATGTATTACTTTACACACGCATTGTATTGTGCCGTTAGTTCATCGTGTCTAAAAGTATATAGAGTGATATCCAAAGTCCATCTATCTGCCGTCTGCTGAGATTTTTGAGTTATTTTTCTTCCACTGTGCCATGCTTCCATCAATGCCACTCAGCTACCACAATCCCTTGATCTGTGATACACGCTGAGTGGGCTCGAATATTTCATTGTTTTCGGACGTGTTTGCTCTCGAAGTACTGCCGCTATCTGTAAAGGTTGGGAAAGCTGATGCATCGTGGGTCGCACTGGCATCCCAGCCAAGGGTCTCTTCTTTCTCATAATCCATGGGCGCCCATGCCGCATCCTCATCTTCAGGTACGAAAAGACTTTCGGGATCGCGATGCGGCGACGGCGCTTGTACTGAGGTCTGGCGGGATCCTAGGCGGCTTGAACCCTCGCGTCGAGATGCCGGCTGTACTGGTGGAGGCATATCAGACTGAAAACTGCGACTACCTTCACGCTCCATTGTCGTTGTTGATGGCGTACGAGGTGTGTTCCTGCTGTGTGCTGTTTGAGGCGCGGGAGCAGGTATGGGTGCGGGCGGAGCAGCGGTGTAGTTGCCCGAAGTCATCAATGTGAATTCGCAAAACAGGCCATCGCATCCATAGCTGAACTGTAGTGGCCGGGTTGGCTGAGAATAGAAGGCTTTTAGGTTCGTCTTCAGAGTATCTGCGTGCATGACAATGGCTTTAAAATCTTTGACGTTGATGATGATGTGTATGCCGGCTTGTACGACGAACTCTTCAAAATCCGATGTGTTGACGGCCACAGCGGTGACAAGTGGGTGCTTCAAGATCTCCTTTCCGTTGGAGATCTTTTCAGTATAGCTCTTGAATACGCAGCGACCGTCGTCTCCTGCAAAAATGTCGAGCATTTCGGTTTTGGTACCAAAATACTCAATGTACTCTCTCACAGCACCAGCGTGCATGGTCCACCGATTTTTTGCTACAGATCGATCAAACAACGCATGCATCACATCCACAGCTTCGTAGGTGAGCTTGTACGTTTTGATAACACCCGGGTTGCAAACCATCTTAACAATGAACCGACATTGTGTCTCGTTCTCCCGTTCTTGCACACTCACTTCACAGCGATCTATCGCACCGTCCCGTCCTACTGGATCGTACAGGCGCCCTTTGAAGACTGACAAGAGGGCCTTGGTGTACATGCTGCACGTGAAACGACCCTCAGGCCCACCATGGCTTGGGACACACTCATAGCTGGCAAAGAATTGCTTGCCATCTAAAGTAACGGCGGCATATGCGGATTTGGAGGAGTTGAGTGCAGTGAATGTGAACTGAGATGAAACGTATGAGACGACGGGCTGGCTTTGAGGAAGAAGGGCAAACCCACCTTTTCTCGACGCGCTTCGATGGCTACGGTGTCGCTGAATTTGCCTAGACAGACAAGAAGATCATGGACCTTAGAAGCTGCCTCGGGGGTGAGGGTAAAGTTGAGAAGGACCATGTCGTATGACTATTCGCATAGTGGCGAGGGCAGTGCATGTCATACAGCAGCGCTTGTGAGGCGGCCGAAAGCGGAAAGACCGCGTTTTTGACGCGCTAGCGTATTGACATCATCGCGCCTGCTACTCGGGGTATGGTAAACAACATAACTTCATGACTAGCCCATCCAAGACATCATGGCTCAAGCGGTGCTCCCAGACGATATCTTGCATCTCTTGTGCGAGGAACTCGCCAGCCAGGAGCAATTTGATACCCTCTTCAACTGCGCTTGTGCGAGCCGCGCCCTTGCCGTCCCTGCGTTAACTCAGCTGTACAAGTACTTGACACCAGTCCGGCTCAGTTGATTATCATCTTTGCTGATACGAACAAAAGATCTCACCATCTTGCACCGGTTCGGGGTGGCGGGGAAGATCTCTACGGTTTACCGGCCGCCACTAATCTACTCACTATCCAGAAATGGTCCATCTTATGGCGCTCCATTGTTGCCTCGAGCCTTGGCGCTACTCTTTTCCCGTATTGTCGTTATATAAGATCGCTTGACTTCCGCGATCTCGGTTACCTTCTCGAAGACGACCAATTCCGGGCCAAGATCTCAAAGTCAGTCCAGTCTCATCCAGCCCATCTGAACCAAGACACTGACACCCATAGGCAATTTTTCGCTGGTCCACTGAAGCAGTTTGAGAAGACAGAGACCCTGACGAACATCAAAGGCAAGAAGTTTACACGAATCAAGACAGCGGATGTCATTGATGCCATTGGTGAAGGTGTGTTTGCCATCTAATCTCATACCGTGTTTGAGATTCTGAGATTCTGCAGTGGTGACACAACACACGCCCACTCTCGAGGTGATTAGTGGAGAGCGTACGTGCAAGCCTGTTCAAGTGAATTGAAGAAACAACTAACGCCTTGGAGTTCAACCTGGTGCTCTTGTCCGGTGGACACCGCGTCTCCCACGGCTACAAAGCCTCGAATTATGGGATGGCAAACCACTAGAAGATGAGCTAGTCCACGCATCTATCTACGAGCATTGCCCACACTTCAATTCTCTGATGATCTACACATGGCGCTCTACTAACAATGACCAAAAGTTTGCCAAGTTTCTTTCCTCTATGCGACCTAATACGCTGCAAACGCTGCAAACCATTAGCGATGTTGAAGCAGGCGCCGAGACCTTCCTCGCACTGAATAACCATGGAAAATCCCTCGAAGATCTTCGCCTATGTGTGACCAAAGACTCAATACCGCATCTAGCTCTGCTAAAAGGATGTACGGCTTTGAAGACACTTCGTATCGAAGATATCCACGGCACCGTTGACCTCGAGGCAACCGAAAATGACGTCTTCCTCGAAACCATATCATGGCTGCAAAAATGTTCGAACCTCCAGCGTCTCAGCTTCTCCAAACTGCAGTCCGGGGCCGCTATTATTACCCCTGTACTGTTGGAGGAAAAGATACAACTCAGCAGTCTAGAGATAGATTCCTACACGCTCAAAGACCACAAATCATTCCATCAGGCTCTTGTGCACCAACAATCTTCCCTACGAGTATTGTTCCTGAGTGGCGACACAGAAGGCATGTTTCGCGACGACCTTGATATTCTTGTTGAATCTTTGAGGCAGCTCCGCCAATTGCGCGATTTGCACCTCATTCTTCCTGAGGTATTGCGCGACGATCATCTCAAAACCATTGTCGCCGATCTCTTCCTGCTCGAAGACTTGTATGTAAGCGGGCTGGAGCTCAATGACGACGTGCTTCCACATCTAGCCAGCCTACCCAATCTTCGCACTGTCACCATCTCTGGTATCTCAAAGTTCACCATGGATGGCTTGTTAGATTTCATAGACAGGCTGGGCCCGGGAAACCAAGGTATTCGCCTGTCGGTTGACATGGCAGATACGGATACCCTGCTTCCAGACGAGCAATTGGCTCTGGTAAAAGACAACTTGATGGAGAAGACCGGTGGTACCTTTGAGTACATGGCACTAAGAGGTATGTGGTGCTGTACACTTAGTGAAATATAGACGATCCCTGACTAGGAGTGTGTGCTTTCTCTAGACCCTAATGTACCTGAATTCGAAAGCGATTCGGATTAACCTTCCATGAGTCTTGATTCGTAGTTTCAGGACCTTATGGAGTGTTGTGGAACATGAATTTGGACGGATTTATGTTTCGGGCCATGTGTTTTCTGGTTCGAATTGGTTTTTGTTGCAGGATACAAAATCAAGTTTTGAATAGTAACACGAACGCTATGGGTATACAAAGCCATCATGCTTTTCTTACGCAATGATCTGCGCGTTGGTAATGATTCTCTTGATAAAAAACATCCATCAATCTATAATGACCTCAATCAACCTCCATATTTTCCTCACCTTGCTCATCCTCGTCTTCTTCCTCCTCTTCCCTATCCAACCGCTCATTCAACATCTCCAACCGCTTCTCACACACATCCCTCTCCAACTCAGGCAACCGCACCAGCCTCCCCACAAACACGGTCCCCAACTCGCGAATATACTCCCACCAATTCTCCGCCACATACCTAGCCAGATGCTCCTTCAACCGATAATGCCCCGGCAAATCCACACCGCCCCTCTTGGCGAAAATCCGACACGCAAACACCATCATCTCCTCCCTGCCCGGCCTTATAGCCTGCAGCTTATCCACCACATGCTCCATAAGATCGTGCATATCGAGGCGATCGGCTACGTTCCACGCCGCGCAGCACTGTTCCAGCACTGTGCTGTGGACCTCGCTACTAGTAGTTGTACTACTGTTATCGGGGTCGGGTGGTAGCCGGATGCCGAAGCCGTCGCTTTCGAGGTACTCGGCGGCGAAGTCAAAGTGTTCGGGGTCGATGTGGGGGAGCGCTGGGTGGCGCAGGACCCAGGTGTTGTCGATGTAGTCGAAGTGGTTGAGGCCGCGGCGGGGGTCGCGGAAGTAGGGTCTGTTCCAGAGGGATTGCTGGGGGAGGATGCGGAGGTGCGGGGTGGGGCTGCCGACGAGGATGTGGATGAATTGTTTGCTTTGGGTGCTATGTTGGGGGGATGAGGGTTAGCTTGGAGGGAAGGGAAGGGAGGGGTGGGAGAGGGGTGGGGCTTACAGTTCGCCGTCTACGGTGTCGCTGGTGGGTTTGTTTAGAATGTTGGAGAGACTGATGCTGTCTAGGATGGAGGATTGCTGGAAGAGAGGTTTCGTGGCTGGCTCTTTTTCTTTTGGGTGGTGCAAGTCTGTAAGGTCTTCCTCGTCTGTGAGATCTATGGTGTTGTTGAGCAGGGAGACTCCAAAGGGTCTGTTAGTGTTCTGGGCTGCGACAGTACGACTGACTTGTGGACTTGGTAATGCGTTTGGGGGCGATTGAGAGGGCGTCAACAAGCCTCTACTTGTAGGATTATGACGCAAGTAGTCGTCTCGGCTTGCACGTAAGGCTTGCTGGAATTCGGTATCCATGGAGTCTCCCGAGTCTGATTCGAGATCGGAATCAATTGTTATAGTACTTCCCATTCTCTCCCGCCAGTACTCCAAGTCTAGGGAAGAGTCGAGGTGGTTGTTGGCCATCCCATATGCATCTCCTAGTCCCGGTACTCTTGCCACTATTTCTCGCTGTAGAATTGGCACAAACGGATCGTATTCGCTCAAATCTTTTGGAGTTGCCCAGCGACTGTCTAAATTAGCATATTTGTGGGTTCGTTGAGAGATACTCACAATATCAGGCTGCCTAAAATCAATATAAGAATTGTAGGAACACCGTGTGGTCGGCTTCGCAATAAGTCCTTGGGCGCCATGTCGTCTATACAGACTATTGCTGGCCATGATGGTGAAGGGGACGTTGAGCCCTGGTACTGGATCAGACTGCCAGGTTCTAGCTGATCCATGGTGTTCGCGATTTATGATCTTGTCGCAATTCGACTGCTCAGTCTGTATTTAGATGATTGTTACCCAAGCCCAGGTACAGTCGGGCGGCAGAGAAAGTGTGATGTGAGACGCACTTATATAGTTAGGGGACTTCTGAATAATCTTGCTGTCTATTACCTGCATTCATCGCTCCTTGAAGCTACCTTTACCCAGGCCCGGGCTTTGCAGTATTTTATTGCCCTTCTTGAACTGCCAGCTGAACCCGACTTCTGCCAACTTTCATACTTACTGGATTCATCGATTTACGACACTAAATAGTATTGCCCAGCATACCGCCAGAGAGATAGTTCTTCGAATCTACTGTGCTATGAAAGCCGTTGCACAATGCATCTCTTACTTGATCTTCCCTGACGCTAACCTGTTGATCGGATCCCACAATCTCTAAACCATTTTTTCAACAGAATATTTTTTGACTAGTATAAGGGCCGGATACTTGGTTGGTGTGTTTTTGGTACTAGTGAGTTTAAGTATTAGTTCACCCGACTACAAGGGTGCCATGTGCAAGGAAATAGACAAGCAGCGGACTTGTAGAGCTTGTTGCAACGACCTGTCCTAAATCAGACGCCCATTCACTCTTTCACCAACAAGTCTCTTCACAAGTTCTCACCTAACCAAGTATGAACCCATTTTCTCTCTAGCCACTACATAGTCTTCCAACCCCCCTGTATACTTTTGTACACCAATTGTCTTGGCAGCGGCACCTCGTAGTATAGCGCCTTTGCGGAGTTGGATCGCCCACGGCTCGGGAGTTGACTAAGCTGCCCGCAAACAACCAATCCAAGGACATCTGGCATTTACTGCCTTCCGCGACCGTAACCTCCACAAACGAACGACGCGCCCAAATCCCGCTCGCGCCGTTCGCTTCCAAAGCCCACTTGTCCACTATACACACGCACGCATACAACCGAAACAAAAAAGGGAACACACCAATCCTCTCGCAGCTAGGAATTCGGCAAACGGGAACACAAGCCAAACCTCACGACAATCCACACCGCGGTGGATCTTACAACCTTTCCCGCTCCACTACTACAATACATAGACGCATATCTGCAACCATGTTCGGCGTCGCAGGCATGCAACCGCGGCAACTCGCCGCACAGGTGCTCAACTTTGCGCTCGTGCTGTCCACCGCGTTCATGATGTGGAAGGGCCTCTCCGTCGTCGCCGACTCGCCATCACCAATCGTTGTCGTACTCTCTGGATCCATGGAGCCCGCATTCCAGCGAGGCGACCTGCTCTTCCTCTGGAACAGAGGGCTGGATACGCAGATTGGCGAGATTGTCGTGTACAATGTCAAGGGCAAGGATATTCCGATTGTGCATCGTGTGGTTAGGAGATATGGTGGAGGGTGAGTTTGATTTACTTTTTTTTTCTGGTAGCGTCGGCTTTTTTTGGTAGGGGGGGGGGTGTTCAAAAAGAGAAATACGTTGCTGACGATGGTTGATTTAGTAAAACTCCTCTCCGTCTCCTCACAAAAGGTGACAACAACCTTGCAGACGATACAGAACTGTATGCTCGCGGACAGTCGTTCCTTAACCGTAAGGAGGACGTGATTGGAAGTGTCGTTGGCTTCATACCGTTTGTCGGATACGTTACCATTCTGCTGAGCGAGCACCCATGGCTGAAGCAAGTTATGCTGGGTATCATGGGTGTTATGGTGGTGTTGCAGAGGGAATAGCATGTGTATGATGGAGAAAGAAAAAAGTAGTGTGTATTGAAGTTTATTATAGAATTTGGGTTATGTCATATTCTTGTTTATTGTATCTCGTAGTGAAGATGTTTGCTATGTGACTTGAACTTTTTGCTGTGCAATCATTGCAATACCATGTGCTTCAAGTGAAGTAATCCAGATACTCGCATCATGCCCTCAAAACCGTGTAGCTATATATAAAACAAAAAACATTTACCGTTGTGATGATCATACATGTGCACATACAATTGATAAGAGAGGATTAGAAAACGATGAATCCCTATTTATCTCACCCAACCCCCCCGCATTTACCCTACCTTCACCTCCGCGCTATTTCCCCTCCCCCCTCCCTCCCTTTTACAACCAATAATCCAAAAAAGAAACAGTCATGCGCCGTACGGGGTTCGACTATACCACATGTCAGTCCGCCAACTCGAACTCTTGTCTCTGGAAACACTTACACCCGTGATCCCCGCCTTATGATGTTCCCACATGCAATGGAGCTTTGGGAAGGCGATAGCATAGCCACTAGCCCAACGACGCTATGTAGACTTGTTTTTTTATCTTGAATTTCGATGGGGTGATGGCGAGATAGGAAGGGATATATGGGTGTGTATGTGTGGTTCTAAAGGGTGTTTTGGTAGAGCAGGGGGAGGGGGAGGTTTGAGTGGTTGGTTGGGAAAAAAGGGAAGGGAGGGGAAGGGGGCAAAGAGTGGAAATGCAAGGTCTATTACTCTGGTTGCGGGGGTTGTCAATGTGGTAAACCGATACCAATAGTTTCAGTGAGTTGGTTTTCCTTTATGAACAAAAGGGAAAGAGAGGTTTTTCTGTGTGGGGTTGATCCGGGAGACCCGGAGGTTTTTGGCACTCACTGGGTGCACTTGAGGTTGCATATATGTATGACGAGAAATCACGTGGGCATGATAGAAGAAGAGGAACAAGTTATAGAAGCAGCAAGCAAAATAAATCTCCCATACTGCAAAGTTTAGACTAGTGTACACATAGACTTGATCATGAGCTTCGTGATGTTTATGCCCCTTTTTTCCCTCTTCCACGAGGTCGAAGAAATAAGGGTTGAAGATGGGGAGGAAGAAGACGCCGCCCCCCAAACATCATGACCGAACAAGTCACAAGCGCTGGAAATGAGACTGAACTGTGACTGTCCCTTTATCGCAAATGGAACCACACAGATTTGGCTAGCCGAAGACACTGAGATACACACGCACACCCACGTCCGAGACAGAACTCACGAACCCATTAAAGCCTAGGAAGGATCACATAAAGGAAATTGAAGAGAGAGGAGGCGGACCGCAAAGCCCGAAGCCCAGGACCTCCAATGATAAGCTCTACTCGGACTCTTCCTCTTCCTCATCGGCAGCCTATATTTGTTAGCACGTGATTTTGGGTTGCAGGGGATGGGGAAAAGCATACCGTGTAAGCAGCCTTCTCCTGCTCGTAGCGCTTCTTGTCTAGAGCAGCCTTGGCCTCGTAGGGCTGACGCTGTTTGTCGTTGAGTGCCTTCCACTTCTCACCGAGAAGCTTGCCGACCTCGCCTAAGCAAAAAGGTTAGAAAACAGAGCGGATGAGGGATTAACAAGCATCAACTTACCGAACTTGATGCCTGGGTTGTCCTCGCGGACCTTCTCACGCTGCTCGTTGGCGAAGAACATGTAGGCGGAAAGACCACGCTTGGGCGCGTTGGGGTCTGTGACTGGTGAGCAGGGTGGGAGGAGAGTGGGAGCACGTGAGCCAAACTTACCCTTCTTCTTCTTCTCAGTCTTCTTAGGCGCAGCCTTGCGGGTGGTCTTTTCCTTGGGCATGGTGTTGGTTGATGTGCTATTGCTGGGGGTTAGCTGGGTGGTGGTTGAGAAGAAAGAGAGTGAGGGAGGGAGAAAGCAAAACGAGGGAGGCGAGGTGAGCAATACAGACGCCTGTACGACGGATCAATGTGGGGAGTAGCAGTGGTGGCTGGCAAAGACGGGAGATGGTGGTGAAGGCGTAGGCAATGGCAGTGGTGGTTGCAGGGCTGGCTGGTATGCGCGTGCAGTGACGCGGTCGCAAAACACCACAACACGACGCGAAGATGCGCGATTTTACGAAGATGGAAGGAGCAAGTACTCACCAAAGCAGCTGGATTCGGCAAAATCGAAGGGGTTGATAAAGGTCTGTTTTGCGGTCAGTATGGGATGGGCGTGGATGGCAGGCGCGGCGATGGCGACGACGAAAGAAATGGAATGCGAAGGTGTCGCCAGAAATGCAGAAAAAGGGCTGTGAGAGGAGCACAAGGGCGGAATGGAGCGGGAAAACGCGTGCAAAAAGGGTGTTGTTGCGAAAAGGGGTGCTGGTGATGGAGCGACTTTGGCATTTGCAGGCGGGGACGACTCACCAAAGGTTTTGCAGGCCAGAGTTGTATGGGCGGTCTACACTGCGAGGTTTTGGTGAGCACGCAGCGAAAACAGCGAGGGCCGCAAAGGACCCTCACAGCGCGGCCTGGCAGGGCGAGGGCATTAGGTAAGCACGCTTGTTTTGCAGCCATGGCATAGCAGCGCACCCGGACCACCACCCCTCCTTTGTCCACCGGGAGCTGCGCTGCCTCACCGCACCAACTCTCGCCCGCACGGCACACGCTGCACTGTCGTTTTTTCACCTGCTGGCCGCGCGAGAGCGACTGCACGCACCGGCGAGAGCGGCGGCGACGATGATTGCAATGGCGACAGCAGCAGCGACGCGAGCAATGGCCTGTTGGGTTGATGCACCCATCGCCTCCAGCAGTCGCCCTCACGTCTCCCCCAGTGTGCCAGGCCCGCGCCCGCGTCCGCGCCCTCGCCCAAAACACGCCTGCACCCACCCTCGCAGCGCGCGCGGCCAACACGGACGCGCATCATGCTTGGGCGCCCCCTTCGTCTGCTCTCTCCTGGCGAGTTTCAAGTTTGGTTAGATTGCACGCAGAAGAGCATGGCCTACCATTCGTTGGGCGCATGCGAGGCGGCCCTGGTTGACGTTATCTCGAATAGCGCGGCGGCCTGCTCTCCTTCCCCGACCACCAGAGGCCACCCAGCCCGGCTCCATGCTCCACGGCCTCAGCAAACCCTCGCTGCTATTACACGCGCTCCACGAACCATCCGAGCTGACTGGCCAGCCTGCCTCATGTGCCCGACCCCGCAGCTTGTCGTGCCCACGGCCTGGGTGACTACTTACTATCTGGCCTGACCTGACTATACCTATCTCTCTGCCTGCCTTGCAACATGTCCTGACCTGTCCTGTCCTGTCCTGTCCTCCGTGCCTACCGACCGGCCGACCGACGTATTGTCCATGGCCCTGTGCAGTCAGTGTATGCCTATGCCTCTTTTCCTGCCCCGTCAACATGCCCACATTACACTGCCCCGCGCCTCGTGTGCCAAGTGCCCTCGTCCCCCCTTTGCCTCTGCTGCTCCCCAAGCACAAGGCGCCGCCTCTTGATGCCCAGGCGGCCCTGCGAGCCACTCTCCCCCCAGAGAAGTTCGTGGGTGGGCAGGCAGGAAGGCAGGCCGGCATGCGAGGTATGCATGCATGCAGGCACGCCAACGCCTAGACCGGCCCGCCAGAGGTTCGGCAACGCGCCCCCGTCGCTTCCCCGACCGTAGTCGGCCAGAGGTTGGAGCGAGCCCGCGACTGCTCCATTCTGCCTCCATCGCCGCTGCCCCCCGCCATTGCTCCAGCAACCGCCATGACGTCCTTGGTCAACAAACACCATCCGGCGCACATACACGTCGAGACCAACCACAAGACGGCAAAACGTTGGTGGCACGCATCTGGCCCAGCTTCCATTTCAACACGACAGCAATCACACTTCGGCCTGTCCCTGCCCCCCGCGCCTGCACCATGCATCCGCCTCTATCTATCCTGCCCTATCCCCACGCCCTCACCCGTCCTCCTCGTCATCCATCACCAGCTCCGTCAAGCCCTCGTCTGCAGCCCAGTTGATCCCACTTCCCACAATCATCCCTGACAACACCCCCTTGAGCGTCTTCACTCTTCGTCTCGATTCTGCAAGCTGCTTCTCGGCAGCATCCACCTGGCTGCGCAGCTGCGCGTCTTCGATATCCTGCACTGATTGCGCCTTCATTTCTTCGGCCAAAGCAAGCATGGTCTGTGCCAGCTCCCGGTTCTTCTGGTTCGCAACCATGTTTCCTTGTTCTGCTGCACTCAGAGCACGTGTGGTAGAAGCAAGCCTGCCCGTTTGAGCACCATGGGTCATGGCGACTGTGTCGTTTTCCGTCACGAGTGGGAGCAGGCGCCTGTAGGCCATTAGACAACCACGCACTATGACAGCCAACGTGAGACCAACTTTTCGGCGAATCGAGTCCGCTCGCCCCCATGGACAGCTTTCCGTACCGGATCCATGACCAGTACGTTGTGCGTGATTCTGTTCCTGATCTCGTACTCTGTCTTCGCTTCCATAGCCTCGCGCTGCGCTATGGTCAGGCGCTCCTCCACCAAGTCATCTGGGAGCGCCGACAAGTCATGCGCTTGTGCTACACTTTGCATTAATCCCCGCCCTGCTTAACCCGATTTGACATGTTCAACGTGCCTGCTTGTTGCGCTTGTAGGAGGCTCTGCTGCAGCTCCAGTTCCTTGAGCTGGTCGTAGAGCTGTAGGGCTAACATCTCAGTATCAGAGAACGCGAACGCGTCGCTGTGCGTTGTCTGTAGTAAATCCGCGTCATCGTGCGCATCCTGCCTTTTTGCACCCACGTCGGCCATGTCGACATCGCCCCGTGTTGTCATGCTGTCCGATATTGTTTCCGTGAGTTTCCAAGATTGCAGTCGAGGCCTGGTTCATCTGACCGAACCTGACCTTTCACCATGATGCAGTGTCGTGGGGCCCATGCGCAGATCCCTGCGTTGAACCATGCTTGGCGGTATTTGGTCCCATGTGCTCACGCTTCAACATTCTACTCTCCATCTCGCCCCTGCTGCTGCCCTGACAAGACTCCAACACGCAAAAAGGGCAGAGCTGGATGTCGCTACAAATTGCTGTAGCTCATACGGGCCAGCGTCTTGACGCTGATCCCGTTGCCTTTACTTCGGTCGATGCGCTCAAGTACTGGATCTCAAGGACTACAGAGATTCCGCCCGAGCAGCAGGTCTTGCTCACAACTCAAGGCAAGCATGTCAAGCTACAAGCGCTATTGACAGAGGCAAGTCATCCTTTTTTTGAAGGGCACACTACACTCTGTCCACTACATACTAACACAAGTGTTTGTAGAAGGAGATATTTGTATTTAGTCGCGAGATCTCCAACAACCCGCAGGCTGCCATATCCTCAACACCTCTACCCGATCCCTTCGCTCCCGACGATGCGCCGAATCATCTCGCCAACAACACGGACCTTGGAGCATGGCAAGCACTCTTCCAAGCCCGCCGCAACTGGGCGTTTGCGCTTCTCGAGAAGTCACATTCCATGTCACGCATAGCCTCCAAGCACTTTGCCGAGCAAGCGACCATCGAAAGGGCTACACAAGTCGCGGTTGGAAATCATGATGCGCATATCAAGGGGTTGGAGCAAAAGTATAAAGCAGCCAAGGAATGGTATGACGGAGTAGAGAAGGAAGCCGGAGACAACCTCCGGAGGCTGGACAGGGATTTTGCACAGCTAGGAACAGTTTCCGCTATCCTGAACTTCAAGCGATTTTTGGCCAAGGAGATGCGATCTGCAAAGAATGTACCCAGCAATGTGATTGTTCGTGAGACGCTCCAGGACTTCCTCGATGTCGAGGCGGTCAAGATGGCCACGGCCACCAGCCAGCGTGTACGCGAGGCTTTTGGGAAGCGTATGGACAAGACGAACATGCAGCTAGAGAAGATTGCAGCAGACTACAACGACTTGTTGAGAGCTGTTGGCCAGAGTCAGAGCCGATCCGTGGTCGACGATACCGAAGAGCCCGTCCGCCTGTACAACGAAATCGACGCAGTAGCAAAAAAGGTCGAATCAGACCTTGAGCATGTAATGGGGCTCGAGGCAAGCTCCAAATCAGTTGCGCAAGTCTCCAAGATGGCTCTGTTGCATACCCGAAATTTCCTCCCTGCCATACAGGAATACAGTGTAGAAATGAGCGATCTCGTGCGACGGGCTGTGGAGCAAAAGAATGCAGCCATCAGAAACTCGGTCGAAAGCATGCAGGGCATCGCCAATATTGAATCCTTTATAGCAAGTATGGGCGCAGATCTCGAGCAAATCAGCATACCGCAGGAGGGAGTTGCGGCCTTTGAGCTCATCTCTCTAGTCGGCCGCCTACCATACGTATACGGCACGCTACTCGTTGAAGCTGTCCGGAGGCGAGAATGGATGGAGAGAATGGAAAGGGATACATCGTCACTTGCGGAAGAAATGGCAACCTTCCAAGAAGAAGAAGAACGGCGGCGTAAGAGGTGGCTCAAGCCGATTGCTGATGTTGTTAACCTGGAAGCCGTGCAAGGAGGCACATTAGGCTTTGAAATGAACGTACAGCCTGAGAAGACGGTTTGGCCCACAGTCACCCGCGAAGAGCTCCGAGACTATCTCAAAGACCTACAAAGACTCGATGGCCAGCAATCTGAAGCCGAGGCATTCGCCCAGGCTATCAAAGATCTGGACCGCCCCACAAAACAACAAATCAAGCGTGCAAAGAATTTCAAAATGGGCAGTGTGCATGAGCCGGCTTTTGGTAGAGGTTCACATCTAATGATGAGAGGTGATGATGAGTTGCGCGTGTTGAAAGAGGGCAATGCAAAGCTTGAGGAGGAGCTGAGAGGCTACAAGAGCCGTGTCCGCCGACTAGAAGACCTTGTACATCGTCAGAATACTGTCAGCAGGCTTTCTATAGGCGGTGCACCTCCGTCATTCAGCATCCCTGATGCAGCGGAACCTTCAACACCAACAGCGCGTGTGGCCTCGCCAAGACCTATGGAAGAAAACTCCAGACGTTCCTCCATTTCCTCCAGGCGGCTTTCGGCAAACACAGGACAAGAAGATAAGCGCCGCATCCTGCGCCTTGAACAAGAACTCGCAGCCGAAAAGGAGGCTCGTGTGAAGCTCGAAAATGAAGCCCAGTCACGGAGAGACGAGGACGCCGATCAACAACGTCGATTCGAAGAGGCCATGTCTACTACGAACAACATCATGGAGAACATGCGAGCGCAACAGAAGGAGTTTGCCGAGGAGCGAAAGTCACTGGAAGATGAAATTCGAGTCTACAAGGCCAGGATTGAGGAAGCTGAAGACGAATTGGATCGCCTTCTCGGTAGTCGCGACAACGAGCGAATCGGTATCGATACCAGAGTTCAAGAACTCGTTGCTGAGCTAGAGCAGACGCGCAAGGAAGCGGCCGAGCAAAAGACTCGCACAGACGAGCAAACTGAAGCACTGCAGGCCGAAATCATTAAGCTCAAAGCTACCAGGGCACAAGAACGCGACTCATTAGCTACAGTGTTCAACCATCTCTCGCCTGGCACAAGTGTACCTGATGATCACTCTGCACTTATTGCGCAGCTCGAGGATGTGGCTGTGCGGTCACTGAACTACCAGAAGGAGCTCCAGCAGGCCGTAGCAGTGGCAAAGTCCGACAACGACAACGCTCATGCCAGGATTGAGGAACAAGAAAACAACTTCAATGCCAAGGTGGCTGAGCATGAGAAGGCGATTGCTTTGGTCCGAGAAGATCTAGACGCAGAAAAGGCAAAGGCGGCCTCGATTACCGCACAACTCGAAGAGGAAAAGAGCCATCTGCATGATCTTCGCTCGAAATTCGCAGAGGGCGAAACCGGCTCTGAAGCTCTGCGGAAGCGAGTGGAGGAGGAGGAAGCCAAGGTTGGCCGTCTCCAGACAGAGTTGGCCGAGAAGAACTCCCATGCCAATAGCCTTGACGTCGAGCTTATGCGGGCTGAGAAGAGGTTGCGCAAGCTGGAAGAGGTAGATTCGTCGCGTACCCACCAACGCATGACCCGTGCAAAGGATCTCAGTCAGCGTCTCTACACACAGCATGAGCGCCTAGTCCGTCTGCTGGAAGCACTAGGCTTCGTCATTACCCACGAGAATGGCGAAATGGTACTGCAGAGAGCGTCTAAACTTGGCAATAGCACTGTCATGGCCGATACCAGTGCAGGAATCAGCCGAAGCACCACGGCGCCTTCGCCTACTCCCTTGAAGCGCTTCCTGGAAGATGTAGGCGATTTACACTTCCTTCAATGGACAGAAGCAATGAGCCCAGAAGAGGAAGACCAGCGCTACCAGGAGCTGATTTCCAAGCTGGATCTCTTCAACATTGAGACATTCAGCGATGCTGTAGCCAAGCGCATGCGCGATATGGAGCACACGGCACGAAAGTGGCAAAAGGAAGCCCGAGCATACCGCGACAAAGCACATCGATTCCAGGCTGACTCGCACGACAAGATTGCGTACCGCTCATTCAAGGAAGGTGATCTCGCCCTTTTCCTGCCAACCCGTAACAATGCGCATCGTCCTTGGGCTGCCTTCAATGTCGGAGCACCGCACTACTTCCTGCGCGAACAAGACACACATCGATTGGGAGGAAAGGAGTGGCTGGTTGCACGCATATCGAAAGTAGAAGAGCGTGTTGTTGACCTCTCCAAAACCCTAGATGGTCCACCTCGGGCATCGTTAGACGATCGCTCTGTTGCTTCGAGCAATGCAGTGTCGTTTGAAGATGACAACCCCTTTGAGCTTTCCGATGGACTGCGCTGGTACTTACTGGAAGCTACCGAAGAGAAGGCCATGGCACCCGGCACCCCAGGCATCAAAGGCGCCGTGACAGTCAAGAGCAGTCTTGAAACCGGGCAAGGCGAGATGCAAAAGTCCAAGAAGAAGTCCTTGATGGACCCGGCTACACAGCTCGGAAAATCACTCGACAGTCGTCGCAGTAGTGGCACTAGTAAGAAGAGTGCACCTCTAGCAGGCAAGAACAACTCAGCAGAAGCCCTCTCACCGGGCGAGCGCGCCAATTCCACCCCCAACTCAGCCACCGCAACACGAGGAGGAAGCCCAGCCGGCGCCCACGGACCTAGCCACCTGCGAGAAACAGAGACAAACGGTACAGAACCAGACAAGACCGCCTACGACGGAAACGGAACCAATGTGCGCGACCTACTCTGGGGACCTTAGGTTTTGCTTCCTGTAAATCTAAGCTCCCCTACCAACATCCCCCCCACCTTGGTTGGCCACTCCAGCTAACAACTTCTTTTTTTTGCCAAAACAGGTATCCGTCTCGCAGTACCAATCTCCCCGCAAATCCTCCATACCGACCCTGCTATCCAGCCTTCGCTCCATGAACAATTCCCCCGTCGCAAATCGAGCACCCGCCAGCCCGACGACTGACACGCGAACGGCGAGTCCAAGCACCAGCACCCCACGCAGAGAGCCGCATGCACGCAAAAGTAGTATCTGGGATAGCTTTTTTCAGTACGATATCGAGTATCAGGGGAAAACATCGAAGAAGTAGTGAGGGGTTAGGGGTTTAGGGGGGTCAAGCTGGAAGAGTTGGAATGTATTATATGTGTGAGTTTGATTTAGGGATGAGGGGGTGTTTTTTTTTACTTTGTTGATATGGCGTATGTGGATGTTCAAGGGGGAATTATGAAGACAGTAGGGGAAAGCCAATAGGTGGAGTGATATCATGGGGATTTCTTTTTGTTATCAGTATTTGTATGGTTACATATGGGGATTAAACATCATGAAGCGATGTATGCGGGGTTGTATTCTCTTATGTAGTTTTATATTTTAGAAATTATTG